GCCATAACTGTCACGTTGAGTGGAGTGGAGGTGATGGACCATGTGTGGTGGAGAGTTCAGGAGGCAGGGGATGCAGGCACGGATAAAGTAAAAGTGATTTTAATAACTGAACGGCAACAGCAGGAACAAACACAACGCTGACAACTAACACAATGATCTGACAAAGGACATAATGAGACGGGAGGTATAAATACACTGAGGAAAATAAGGAACACATGGGCAGGTTAACAAGGGGCAGGTGAAACCAATAGGGACTAATCAGGCAGGAGAGGGACACAGTCAGGAAGGCAGGGGCAGATCGTGACAATAACAACACTACTGAAATATTCATTTTTCAATAAGTAAGTTTATAGCACAGAAAAAAAATCACAAAGTGCTTCACAAAGATCAACAAAACAAATCAGTCATAAAATCATCCTCACAACTAAACTAAATATCATAAAACAAATGAAAATTGATTAAAATCACAAAATGCCATTATTAGATGAAGGAAACACAAAGATTTAAGTAAAAGCAGATTCAACTAAAGGGGTCTTCAGATGTTTTTTTTAAAGGGTTCCAGACTATCAATACGAGATAAAAATAAAAACAACCTGGAAACAGTGATCACCTGAACTTTTATATCTAGTCTTGGAATTTTCTAGAAAGTTCTGGATTGTGGACCTGAGGGCTCAAGTTGGAGCACAAGGCTTCAACAGTACAGAAATCTAGGGAGGAGCTTGACCATGTAGAGCATTGAAAGTTTTAGTCAGGATTCTAAAATGAACTCTAACGTTAACGGGTAACCAGTGCAGAGACATCAGAATAGGAGTGACGTGTGCTCTGTTTGCTCCAGTTAGGAGCCTCGCTGCAGAGTTCTGGATCAACTGAAGACGGTCAAGCGTTTTTTGTTGAAGCAATATGATTGAGGTCAGGGCTCATAGACAGCCACTTTAGAATAGACCGATGTTTTCCTCTTAGCCATTCGTGGGAGTTTGTGGCTGTGATTTGGGTTATTGTCCTGTTGCAAGACCAAGCTTTCTGACACTGGCCAACACATTTCTCTCTAGAATCTCTTGATAGTCTTGAGATTTCATTGCACCCTGTACAGATTCAAGACACCCTGTGCCAGATGAAGCAAAGCAGCCCCAGAAAATAACAGAGCCTCCTCCATGTTGCGCAGTAGGAACAGTGTTCTTTTCTTGATGTACTTCATTTTTCTGTCTGTGAACAAAGAGCTGATGGGCCTTGGCAAAAGTTCCATTTTTGTCTCCTCTGTCCATAAAGGTAGAGGGGAACATCTTTTTCTTCTGGATGGATCATCTGAACCATTGGTCCATATAACTGTCAATCATTCTGGTGAAGCTGTTACGCAAGGCTGTCATTGCACATGCTCGTTCCCGGGTTAGTTTTCACTTCCTGCTCATGCCCGTTCTGTTTTTGTGTAGAGCGATATGCCTTAACTCCTCATGGTTCTCACCGGGTTCTTTTGATGATGGCTGAGAGTCGCAAGTGAAAAAGTGCCTTCAAAGTAGTAAAGCAGTACAGCTGAATGTCATCTGCATATAGGTGATAAGAGACATTATGAAAACAGTCAATTATCTGTCCAAAAGGGTGTATGCACAGTAGAAACAACAGTGGACCCAAAACAGAGCCTTGTGGTACCCCACAGAACAAATCAGTAGAATCTGACATGATTTGGTTTATACCAACACATTCTCACACCTGAAGTGACTAAAACTGATGATGGGCGACCAAGCGTTTGTTTCCGATGTGTAACACATCGGGAGACATCACGCGGTGCCAGAGCATCGGTTGTCATGAGCCCGGGTGGGTACTCCTCTCAACAACCTATCTTTGAGTGTGTTGCAGGAGAGGGAGTCTTCCAGCTGCACCTGGTCAGCAATTAGCGGGTTTCCTACATAAGGTGGATGGAGAGCACAGCTTGATGCCGGATGATTGCTACAGCTTGGTCGTTTCCAGCCCTTGTGGTGGTTCTAGGTTTTTGAGACTAGTGTTTTGTACTCTCATGATTTTGGATTTTTTGTGATTGCCTGCCTTCAGTTTTCTTCCCGACGCCTCAGGATACTCCTACGCCCCAGGATTCTTCTCTTGTGCTCCATAGGATTCCCGGACTCCGCTCAGACACGTTCACCGTTCACCCTGACCGACCCGCTCTTCTGCTCACCTCATGCTCCCTCTCCTGGACCTCCCCAATTGGACACACCCCGGCTCTCGTTAACCATGTTTTAGAGGGATGATACAACTAGAAACAAAGTTTTGCATGCGCAAGTGGGTTAAGTTTAGGAAGGGGGTCAGGGTAAGGTTAAATAGTAAGAGGGTAGCGGTCACAATTTGGTGAAATCATCGTTTTACTACGGGTGTCAGAAAGTGATGCTCTGGCACAGCACGGCATAAACAGTTGGTCACCCATCGTCAGTTTTAGCCACTTCGAGTGTGAGAATGTGTTTTTTTTACAGACACTGTAACTTCTGCTAGAAAGGTACGATCTAAACCAGACTAGAACAGTTCCAGAGACCCCCACCAAGTCGCCAAGTCTGTTAATTAAGGTGCTGTGATCAACAGTGTCAAAAGCTGCAGAAAGATCAAACAATACTAACACTGAATTCCCCGTTGACTGTAGCCATCATGTCACTAGAAACTTTAAGCAAAGCTGTTTCTGTTGAATGCTTTTTACGAAAACCAGATTGGAATTTGTCAAAACTGTTGTGTAGTTCCAGAAAAGTAATCAGTTGATCTTCCATAACATTTTCCAATATTTTAGAGGTAAAGGGTAATTTAGAAATGGGTCTGTAACTTTTAGGGTGAAAGAAGTCCAAACTGGGTTTTTTTTAAGGATAGGTACAACAACTGCATGTTTGAAAACAGAGAAAACAGAGCTAGTTTGGAGAGATAGATTAACAATGATAAAACTACAGCCTAGAGGCTCTTTTATTTAATGTCAGGAATGTAGAACTGTCAAGTACACAGGTGGCAGGAACGGCCAATCACACGTTAGCAAGTATCAGCAGAGCCAGTAGATGAGCTTGTGGACGCTTCTAATGGGAAACAGGCTTCAACACAAGCACTTGGTCCTAGTGCTCAACCAGTGTCTATTTCATATAGCGTGATGTAGTTTTGGGATGGTAAAACGGGCAGGGGACAAAAATTTACTTTGAAAAACGTGGGGGGACATGTCCCCCCCCCCCGTCCCCCCAAAGAAACTATGCCCATGGGCCCACCGACTGATTACAAGATTGTAGACACCTGTAATGCTGATTAGTGGACACACCTTCATTTACCACGTCCCTATTTTCAGTCTTTTCTAGGGGTACCATCATTTTTGTCCAGGGCTGTTCCATGAGTTTATTTATTTTTTTAAATAATTCCGTTCAAGGTTGAAAAGCAATGTCTGAATCTCATTTGTTACTTTTAATAGAATTTTAATTTATCATTACTTTTGTCAGATTCAAGTTATTTTTGTGGGCTTTTCTTTCATTGACCGAAGGGTACCAACAATTTTATCTGTGCCTGTATGACTGAACCCAACCAATGTAGAGCAACGGTCTAAAATTTGCAGAATGCTCCTAGAGCAGCAGTGGGCAATCCTGGCCTTCGAGGGCTGCTATCCAGCAGGTTTTATTTGTTTCTCAGCTTAAACACACCTGGTTTTAATCTGCCGATGATTTACAGGCTGCTGCAGAGCCTGATGAGCTGCTGAACAGGTGATATATTTAAGAATCAGGTGTGTTGGAGCAGAAACACAACTAAAACATGCTGGATAGCAAGGATCAGGATTGCCCACCCCTGTGCTAGAGGCTCATCAGGTTAAGTAGTTAGTTATGTTTCTAAAAGTCACCAAAAAGCCTTTTAAAGTCAAACAATCCAAATAGAAAATTTTGAATGAAGACATTTATTTAAAACATGTTTAACATTTTCATTCACCTGACATCATATGTACATAGGTGCCATAAAAAAACATAAAATAAAGCAAAAATTTCTTCTCAAATGTCTGAATCAGGCGATTTTCATATGAATATATATCTGAACCAGTATTTCTTTCATGATAAAACACATTTATAACATGAGATTTTCATTCCTTCAATCCATCCAAACTCCAGTATAAAACATGGTATAACATCCGTGGAGTTTTTAGCAGAAAGCTGATCTATGCTGCTGCAGGTAGGCGCTTCAGTAGTTTAAAGGATGTCAAATTTGAGAAAATCCTGAAATAGGCAACTGGGACTTTGTCAAAGCAACATCGACAGCAAATACAGTCAACATGCACAACTTCCAGTTCACTGTCTCATAATAAGCAGCGGTGCAGTTCCAACATGGTTTCACCTGCTTGTTGTTAATAACATTAGAAAGCTGAACTTGAACGCCTGCGGAAAATAACTACAAGATGCATGTGAATTAAAAGTGTCTGCATCTGTTATGTTTAAGTCTAAAACAAAACTTTAGCTTCACTGAAATAAAATTTTGGATCTATTTTGTGGAAAGAAGTCAGAATATTGGGAAAAAAATCTGCTCCTGACAGTCAGGGGCGCCTCCAGAAAATTTTGATAGGGGTGGCCAGACAGGGCCAAAGAAAAAATTTGGGGTGGCGCACCAAATTGGTCCTTGTGGTAACTCTGGGAGTGTTTCACCTGTGGTGATGCACTGCATTACTTCTTTATTTGTTTTTATTTAAAAAAAAACTGTACGTATCCAAAACCTTTAACTTAAATTTTACAAACACAAACATTTCAGAAAAATACATTTCAGTTATTTAAAAAGGTATTTCAAATTTAATTTAAAAATGTTTTTCTTTATTTAATTCACCCGTTGCTGTGTTCACAAAAAACTATGGAGATGGAAACTTTTTTAAAAAGGTGAGCAGCAGAAACATGTGTTTTTTTATTCAGATTATTTCTTTACTCATTATTTGTATTATTTTTATTTTGTTTTACAAGTATGTCTGAAATAACAGTGAACTAACAGTTAAATCCCTGAAAATCCAAACATGTAGGTTTTCACGGATTTAAATTGTTTTGTGGAAGAAAAAAAACTAAAACGATTCAAAACCTGAACTTAGGAGGTTCTTCAGCACCTTCACTCCGTCATAATTTCTCTTTTATGTGAGCATGCAATAGAGCTTTATTTTTATTTTTTATTTAACCTTAAAGTGGGTTCCTGTGGGCAGTTAATGAACATCTGCTGCTTGAACAACCTCATTTTAGAGAAACAAAGATTACTTGTGACAAGGGCTTGTCACAGTGAAGCTAGCCCTGAAGTAAATTACTGTTGTTCAAAAGAACTTTGAACTCAAAAACTATTTCATAACTCTTTGGCTTTCCGTACACATTCATTTGCATAGAGTGCTATGGTTATTTACAGCTGGAGGAGGATTTGACGATCACAGTCAACATTTTATATTTTTCAAACACTGCATCAAAAATTTAAATAGTGTAAAACAAACTTTATTGTGACAAACTAGTTCATTATGTTGGGGAGAATTTAACAATTTCCCCCAAACGTAGGTTGTTCAAAGAGCTATCTGAGAAAGATTATTGTTTATAAAAATCCCCACTTAAACCAACTTTGGGCTTAAATAAACCTGTTAGTTTTGTCCAAACCAGCTGAAACTCATCCTGTGATGCAGGACCTTCATTTTCTTCTACATTTACCTTGAATCAACAGCTCAGGGATGCGCAAATCGATGTGCACAAATTCAAGACAAGTGTTCTATGTTTTGCAATTCATACCCACAAATTAGCTTTAGCAATTGTGGATTTTTTTCTTTAGACGATAAGAATACTTGTGAATCAGACGTCAGCAGTGTTTATTAGAGGATGGTTGAAATCTCAGCTGAGGTAGTCCTGAATGGGATCAGGCATGACCAAATAGGGCATGAAAAGAGTAACAGTTCACATCCACTGCTGCTATTTGCTATTAAAAAGATAAAAGTGGAGCCTGAGCTGAAGCACAGCAGAGAGGGATGGGACAGACTAATATATTTTATTTGTGCAAATTTTCAAGTCAATATCTTTAGGTTCACCGCCTTCTCCTGTTGATCACCTCTGATGTCATTTTTCATGCTCTAATGTGATTTCTGTTTAAATGAATATTTAATTTACAGGTAATCAATTAATAAAAATGACTAAAGTATAAAGTCAATAAGAACACAAAGTTGAGGAAAGTTTTTAGTTACTGCTTTGGATCTCGTTTCAATTATGGCTTCAAGTTCCTGTTTTTGAACCTTTTTTTAAACTTAATCTTTCACAGAATATAAAAAACTAAATCCCATAGATTATCATTATCATCTCCCTCTGTTTCCTCTGTAAGACCCTCCATCTATTTACATGCAACCAGCCTTCTTCTGGTCACTCGATCTGCCGGTGGCTCCTGCTGTCAAATATCATCGACCTCCTCTGAGGCTGGTAGAAGCAGCTGGTGGACGTCTCCAGTCTCTGTCCACTTTTTGGAATCGTCATTTTATTGTGAAGAGAAATCCCCTCTGACGTCCTGAAATTCTCCTTAGAAAGAAGGGCAGATGTGTCGTTCAGGTTCTTGATGGACGACAGGAGCCTCCCGTCATCTCCTGACGGCGGATAGTCCATGATGGGGAAAGGAGGGCTGAGGAGGATGAGACTCTGAGGTCTCTGTCGATTCCTGAAGGATGGTCTTTGTAACAAGTTTGCTCTGTTGGGTCTGGGACAATCCACGAAGACCTCCAGATTCGGGTTGAGTCTCCTGGTTATGACAGGCAGCTCTGGCGTGGAGGTGGTCTTTACAGACTCTGCGGATTTTTGAACACTTGGGGTTTTTTGCTGTTTGGGACCAGGCTTTTTATTCTCCAGCTGTTCTGGTAGGTCTGACATCAACATCAGAGGAAGAGGCGGCGCTGCACTGCTGGTTTCTGCACTGATCTTAGGACGGCCCTTTTCTTGTTCTTTTACTGGGTTGGAATCCCCCTCGTGTCTCAACCGAGGTATCTGGCTGTACTGGACCTTTGGAGGGATGACCGGCACAGCTTTGGCTTGACACGTTTTAATCATGAAGGCTGTCCGAACTGACGACACGCTGACCGGAGCCGAGTTTCGACGAAGAGGCGCCTGTCGATCGTTCAGAAACAGGTCCAACTCCGAGTGGCCTTTGCTCCCAGTTGCAGCCGAGGCCAGCGAGCCTTTCTGACATAGTGAGAACTCTGATGACTTACAGTTCTGTTGATTAGAAATATCTCTGATGTAACGATGGCCCAGGTCCAGGTCCAGGTTCAGCGAGTAGGGCCTGTGTTTACAGAAGCGGTTCTCCTCTCGTCTCTCTGGGACGACTGTCTCAAACGACGTTTGTCTGTTGAACCTCTGAGATGAAACTGTATTTTTCTGTTTGGTTGTGTTGCACTTTGCAGCCTGAGGTTGTGTTGCATTGTTGCTGGTTTCACGCGCTCTCATAGGAACTGTTGGTGGAGGGTTTCCTGAGACTTGATCAGTCCTGATAACAGATTGTTTATTATCATCAGCTGACAGAGATGAATGCTTGTTTCCCTCAGAGCTCAGAGTTGCTTCCTGTGGGCTGAAAGGTGACAGCTGGTTGAGCAACTCTTCTATATCAGGTGAGTGCAGAGGGCTGGTCACCCACTGCTTAGTGGAGCTGAGATCATCCCAGGGCTCCACCAAGTCCAGCTCCTCCATTTGCTCCCCACACCCCTCTTCATCCTCGAGGTTCGGCGGTTCCACTGAGGCGTGTTTCTCCTCTAAGCACACGGACAGCCTCTGGCCAGCGTCCGTCTCAGGGATCACATGTGGCATTTCTTTGTCCCCGTGATGAGTTTCATGTTTTCTGTCTGTGCTGTCTGCTACTGAGAAGTTAGCCACTTGTGGAAGGTCTTTTAGTGTCAGGTGGTTCATAACGTGATGCAAACTGGCTTCCTTCGCAGGACGTTGGCTTTGTTTGGCGTAAGGTGGCTCGTTTTTGTTTAGCGCTGGGACTTTTCGCCGTGGTTGCTGCTCTGATGCATCCAGAAGTTGAAGATTATGAGATTTTCCACCAGATGTGAGGTCAATGTTTTTATGAACAACAAACAAGAGGTCTGGTTCTGAGGGCTGCTTCTTTTTGCAATCAGATCTGGTAGAAGTCACATGATCACTGGGAGGGGTACTTTGGGATGGCTCCCTACAGAGCAAAGATAGAGACGGGGAGCTACGACTTCGCTTCGACTTCACATCCATTGTTAACTTTGGGTTCACACAAGCACTCGTCGAGAAGAAAACTGGTTTCAAAGATGCGTCCAGCAGGTTGGTTTCGGGCTCAGTTATCTTCAGCTCGGGGTGGACTTCTTTCCCAGTAGAGGATCCCCGATCCTGAGAGATCAGAAGAGTTAAACGACACGTGAACGAGAGATGAATCAGAAGCTACATCAAAAAGAAAAATACTGAGCCATGCAAACATGCAATAAATACATTTATTTTGGTTTTATTCAACTGAAGGTCTTGTGCAGCAATCACACTATTTACCAGTTGGTTCTGCGTGGGCTGATGGCGCTCTTCTCCAGAAGGTGGGTCTGTATCTTTGCCTTCTCCAGCAGGAAGAGCGTGAGGCAGGGCTTCCAGGTCAGAGGGTTTCTTCTCTCCTTCATCTTTCTGCATCACTTGTCTGCTTGTATCTAAATACAAAAAGCACATCTTCAATCACATCCAACATCATTTAGCACAAATGTGAGAAACTGTATTTTAAACAGTGGCACGAGATGTTGAAATTACCATCTGGTGAAGCTCTAGCGGCCAGCTCGTCCATGAGCTTCTTCTCTGTTCCTTCCTGCCTCTTTGGCTCCAGCAGGGGGAACGTGTTGCTCTTTTTGAAGTTGCTGCTCTGCTCTGAGGGCTCCTTGCTGGATCTTAGAGTGGCAGCTTTGTCCTTGCTGTGCACCCTGCATGGCGTGCTGTTGGAGCTGATAACAGCAGACACACGGAGAGGTACGGACACGGCGAAAGGCTCAGAAATGTTGATGGCTCTGCGTTGGTGCCTCGGTGAGGACTCCAGTGGGAAGAAGCTTCCTGGGAATGAGGGCCGTGAGGAGTTGCTGTGGGAATATCCGGCGTAGAGCATCCTCCTGCTTTTAGGAGACGAGGGCTTGTAACTGCTGAGGTCATCACCTTTGAACACTTTAAGCTGCTCTGGGAGGGACTTCTGAGAGGAAGCTCCTGAAGAGTCCTTCTGGTTCATGCTGGAGCTCCACACAGCTGTCGCCCCGCCAGAGGTTTTCTCTTTAACCTCCCAGCTCGGGTCGTGCTCAGTCAGGTCACAGAGCGAGTCGGATCCCAGAGTTCTGGATTTTACATCAGGAATAAAAACACTGCTGGATCCGCCTACTGGATTATTGACTTCTGGTCTGTCTGCACCTGTGCAAATGACCAACAAAGAAAAAAATCAGTTCTCAGTAAAGCATTAATAGTTTCATAAAGAGATCATGATCCTGAATCACAAAGGAAAAAAGGGAAGTAGCTCCACCTGGTGGTGATATGCATAACGACTCCATGCTCCTGGATGAGCGCAGCGCTGCTTTTTCTGTAGAAGAAACACAGAAATTCAACATTCATCTATTTGGCACAATGTAAAAATAACAAATTTCCACACAAATGGCAACATTTAAACAAATATAAAAAAGTGATGGTCTTACCCCGTACTGTGATATATGTAGTTATATAGCACAATCTTAGGTTCTACAACCCCCCAAGGTGCTTCACAACACAATCAGTCATCCAGTCATTCACACACACGCTACACACACTTCATTGTAGCCACAGCTGCTCTAGCACATTGACGGAATCGAGACTGCCAATCACAGGCGCCTTGGGTTCCTCCGACCACCACCAGCAGGCAAGGCGGGTTAAGTGTCTTGCCCAAGGACATCATTTTGTTTTGCTAAGCCCGCCCTCCGTCCCACTGAGCCCCATGCAATTTGAACAGAGCACCACTCAGCATTAGCCAATGGTGTGAGACATCAGGAGCGTTAGAGGAAGAATCTAGACTGATGCAGAGTCGGCAACATTTTGTATGTACAAGTAAGTCTTTCTATATATATACTCTACGTACATGAATAAACCGCATTACATGAAAATAATATTTATACAACAATGTGTTCTAGCTCTGTTGGCCGTCTAGAGGTGTGCGTTCAAAAATGAGAGACGTTGCTTCCACCAGTAATCAAGGCAGTAGGGAGAGGGGTTTAAAGCTGCAATGGCAAATTTGAAAAACATACAAGAAAATGTCAAACAACCTTTCAACATAGAATAGCTAAATATTTTGTGGAGAAAAAAAAGTAAAAAATAATGAAGTGGTTCCCTCGCATTTGTCTAAAAACCTCCACCAATAACACAGCTTGTATCGAAAACAACCAACGGACCATCCGGTTGTCGGTCTCGCTAAACTGCTGCACTTCCCTGGGTCCTCCATTCCTCACACACTTATGTATTTAGCAACAGAACACCACTGGTGTGAGAGGTTCTCCACTTAATAATATCAAAAAAGGAGAAACAGCCGGCTGCTACCACTTCAACTTTAGGACAAACTACCAGAGTCCCAAAAAGAAAAACACAGGCAACAAAAGATGTTTGGACCCAGAAAATTGTGACTGGTGTTTAACGCTATCTGGTTTCCTCTGGCAACACAGACTTCTGGTTTCATGACTGTTTTTGTGTTCAAAACCTAGCTTGTTTGCAGATTTGCTATAACAGCTTTAAAGAGCAAGTCACCCTCTACCAGAGTTTAACTCCACCCCCATTTTCTGTGCGCCAAAAGGAGGCACTGGCTGGCAGGCTGAGAGGGCGGAGCCACTAACACAGGCTCACAGCAGCATTGTGACATCATATGGGACCAGTTAACGTCATAGTGTATCTCTTAGCCAATAGCAATGGTGGATTAAAATTCAAATGTAGTGCAGACTTTCTACCTGAAGAGGGCGCAACACTGACAGTTTTAGGCAGAATATTTAAATTTTAACTAAAATGCACTAAAGTGACAAATTATTGGCGTGTCTACAGCATGATTAGACACACATTTATATAGTCTATCAGCAAAAAAAAGTTGATTCGGGGGTGACTTGCTCTTTAAGGTGCACTACACTTTTTCTGCCTCTAGATGGTGCCCTCTGAGAAAAAACAGATTTCTGATTTAATGCCATCAATTTTATGTTTCACTTGTTTATTCCATTCTTGTTACCGTAACTATTATTGCTGTTATTGTAATCCTAATAATTCCTTGCTATATAACAGATTTTATATGATGATGATTATCATAACTTTTGTTGCATGTTGTGTATCCTCTTAAAAACACATTCACCATTATCATCATTACATTATTTTTTTATTAATAAAAAATAAAGTAAATAAAAGATATTTACATGCACATGATCATTTACAAAACTCATGCAGTCCTTTACCATTAAAGTGTTTTATTGTAGAAAAAGGCTAACAAGTTGTCGGGTTAGGGTTAAGAGAAGTGTTTCTGATAAACTCACCTGTCACCCCCTGTCCTCTTGTCAAAACGCTGCCGTTGCGGCTCAGTTTTCCCTTTGAGTCAACAGATTTTCCAAGGTTAAAGATGGACTTCCACTTCTTAGATTTGCCAGAAAATCTCCTCCTAGCAGACAGAGATAGATTAGTGTGTCTTATTGCAGTTTTAGATGCACAAACACCCTCAGATTAAACTGACTTGTGGTCTGATATTTCTATGACGGTGTGATAGAGCGTCGCCGTGCTCGTGTCGGGAAGGCTGTTCTCTCGCTGACGCTCTTTGTGAACAGGATGGTTTGGACTCAAGGAGCGAGCCTGGGCCTCCTCCAGGCTCATCAGCTTCATCGGCCCACACTGGCCGCTGATCGGGAGCGTGGCGTACTTCTTCTCTCCGCACAGCAAACTGGGTCCTGTGGAGGTTTAATCCATTAGGTTAATTCATCAACAAAGCCTGCTCTTAAAATCCTAAATATCATACCTTCTTTGGCTTTAACTGGCACAGGATCACTGTTGAAGATCTGCTCTACGTGGTTTAAAATAAACTCAATGACCGACTGCTGTATCCGTACCTCCTGGAACGCCATGTCTCCATTACCAGAGGACGCCTCAATGTCCTTGGATCTGCGAAAAACAAGTCAGATACAAATAATTGTTTTAAAAATACTTGAAAACTTGTATTATTCTACTCGGTGCATGGAAGGTTTTAGGCGTTTCTGGGAAGCCAAACGCACCTCAACAGGTTTGGAGCCCAGACCAGGGCCAGGTTACGTGTATGCATGTTTGTCTGGCTGCTCAAAGTGGCGAGGTGGGCCAAGTGCTTGGTGAGGTACTCTAGAGTCCTGAAAATAAACAAAGCTTTACTTTAACACTCAGTTTGTGAGTTGGAATGTTTTTTTTTAGGAGTGAGACTGAAAATGGTTCGAAGTTCACCTGAAGTGAGCTGTCGGCAGCTCTTTGACAGCACTCTGGATGTGTAACAGCCTCTCATGATCTCCCTGAACTGAAACAGCTCCCTGCATGTAGAAGAAACCAAACAAACCACACCTGTAGCGTTAAAAAGCTGCAGTTAACTTTCTAATTTTGTGGCCAATTCCCATTCATTTACAGTTGCTGTCACTTGCATGTCTGTGTGCGATCGTTGCTGAACACTTAAACAGATGTTCAGTTTAAAATGCATGGCTAATGTAGAAAGAGCTGCACATGTTAGCTTCACGTGTCGTAATCATGAGCTAAAACATCTGTGCAGTTTGGTGTCAGAAATCTCATTTTAAATGTTTACATCCTGATAAAAACAAGATAACACGTGGCGTCGGCTCAAATAGAGGTGAAGGTAACAAAACATACACCCAAAGCTAATTTTATTCCAACTTCAAATCATGAAAGAAACGTTTTCCCTCATCCGTTACATTCCTGCTGGTACACAGAGGGAGAGGAAGGCCTTTCCAAAAATACCAAAGCTCTGGAGTTTGAAGGCACATTCAGCTCGGAGTGTGTGGATGCCAAGGTATGCAAATGGTCCGTCGAGGTGCCCAGACGGCTTCTACCAGCTCCTACACTCTGGTGTTTCTGTTCCTTCTCCACAGCTGAAAATCTCTTTCATGTCTATATTTCACCCACAAAAGCCTAAAAGCTGTTATTTAGATCCTATCGTCCCAACTTTGACCACAAAATGTCTCTAATGATGTAGTTTTATCATTCCATTAGGATCCAGGTGTTTCTACCTCTCCTGCTTGTCAATAAAGAAGCTTCAACTCCAAAATCAGGGGTTCAATGTATGGCGCGGAGGCCGTTTGTGGTCCAAAACGTGACTTTGTGTGGCTGTCAACTGGGATTTTAGAAGAAAGGAAGTTTGGCCTACATCTTTTAAAGTTTAGAAACCCCTGCTTTTCAAAAACACCTGAGGCGATCTAAACCAGATCCACACTCAGGAAAACCAGGTGACATGAATATGCCTGTCAGCAATCGGTTCAGCATGTAGAACCGGTCTACTGCTGGACATCTCCAGCGTCTCAGAACGTTTCTCCACTGCAGACAGTGGTGGAGGTACTCACGGTGAATTTGCTGTACAGCTCGAACGTGAGCAGAGGATTGGGTAGCTCCCTGAAGTACAGCTTGCATAAGGAACCCACACAGTGGATGTCCTGGAGGTACACTTCCTTTGTAAGGTCAGGGCACACCTCAGAGCAGAATTCCTGCCTACACACACACACACACACACACACACACACACACACACACACACACACACACACACACACACACACACACACACACACACACACACAGAGAGAGAGAGACAGTTAGCTTTTCTTCTGCACCATGAAGCTCCTCTGAACTGCAGTAAACCAAAGCTGTAGCAGAAGCAGCAGACTTGAAGCTAGTCTGAAGATGCAACATGAAACTTGGTTAGATTTATTTGTTCTTTAGAAGATGTGCAACACCCAGAGAACCCGAATTTAGTGTTATGAAGACTCAAGCATCACTGGTGGGAGATTTTATTTCTGTATCTTAAAAGAAACACAACTTCTAAGTACCTGAGGCGCTGGATGTTCGAGGTGACCCCAGAAAGTCTGTAAATGCCGTCCACAATCCCAAACTTCTCAATAAACTCTGCACATTTCTTCAGGACCTGAGGAACTGCAGAAAGGAAATCAAGTTTAATCATGGAGATGCTGAAAAAAGCGTTTAATTTACACAGATGCCGCGTTTTGAGCAGAAAGTTTTGAGAATAAAACTGACTGACTTCATGGAGCTTGTGGTTTGGAGCTGCTCCTCAGGGCTGGTGACTGTAGGTGGACTTGGACAGGAAGTTAAAAATGGTTTGTTTGTTTCAGAGGAAAGCTGACACACCCAGGCCTTGTAGCTGGTATTACTTACGACATTTCCTCTAATAGAAACGGCTCTTTGTAATGTTACCATTGACCTACTCTGCTTTCCTAACAACAGTTCATCACCACGAGTAAACAACCGTTTAAAGACGACTCTACCACGTTTAGCTGTGGTTTTCAACTATCTGCTCACATTTAAGCTCACCACCATTTATTTGACTTACAAATATGGTTTAAAAGGGTGCAAATTATCCCAAAGCCCAGCCTAAACTGGAAATTCTGTTTGGAGCTGAGCAATTTAAATTTGTTTCAATAAAATTAAAGAAGAAAGGATATAGTTTCAAGAAGACTTTTACATTTTTTTGCCCTTAATGTTTCTTTATACCATCAGTAAATATCTAGTCTTCTTTCCCATCATTTTTCTGCTTCAATCTTCATATTTTTCAGTAATTAGTTTAATTACATCACAAACAAAAACACAAAATCGATCCACCGCTAATTGATGGTCTAAATATTTTTGGCAACAGCTCATTTCTCGCTCCTCACCACAGACACAAACAGTTATTTAAATTCTCATCTTTTTGACTTACATAATTGAATATGTAATTGCCCGTTTGTGGTTAAAATCTGGATGATGAACGACTGTCGGGTTGTCATTTAGTGCTTCCTGAATTTTGCCCTGAGAAAACATTTCATTCTGACTGGCGACTGAACAGAGTCCCACGTTGAAACTGGAACTGCAAATTCAAAAATTCTATTTTCTGCTTTCCTTTCTCTCTTTTAACGTCTGACACCAACTGTGTGATAGTAACTGAATCTCCCCTGGTTTACCCATCTGAGAACATCCAATCCCAAATTACACCAAGATTAAGCAGCTCAAACAAACGGAGCAAAACCGTGTTTATCTTGTTGACGCAAAGGAGCTCATCTATGAATCCGTCTCTCTGCATCATTTGTTATTCTTAATTTGGAGTGGAGTAGATTAGGAATAGCTCATCTCTCCAGTTATCACAGGCCTGGAGAGGAAATGCACAACGGATGATGTCAGCAGAAAAAAAGGCTTTTTTGAAGTTTGACCTATTTGAATTACTGGAAATTACATTTTTACACACCAATAATGTTTTACAACCCTTTTGGTAATTCCTACTGATTCTGATAGATTGTAGATGTTTTATAACTTCAATTCTGCTAAGTGTAAAAATGAAACGGGAAGTGGGTTTTATTTCAGCTTTTTATTACTGTTTTTAAGTGTTTAAGTGCTTGGTAACACTTTATTAATGTTAGTGCATTATTACGCATTAATAAACCACTCAATAACGTATCAACAACTGCTTAACCATGCTATGTAATGTATTATGAAGCAGACACCTCCTGACCTTTGTTTATTAATGCTTAATAATGCACCAAGTAACATTAATAAAGAGACCCCTATTGTAAAGCGTTACCAAGTGTTTATTACAGCTACAAAAGTCTATTTTCTTAAAAATCCTTGCATTTTTACATCAGAAGTAAAAAAATCTAAATGTTGAAAAGATCAACAAACAGTACTGAATAAAAATGTTACGGTTGCAGGTTTTCTTATATAAACTTTTGTGTCACATTTAAGATTTTAGGGGGGGGAACCAGTTTCAACAACCTAAAAAAGGACAATAAGTCTACTGCTTCCAGGACACTGAGTATGACCCACACCTCCTCCCTGACTTCCTGCTCTGCCTCACACTGAGAACAGCCTCAAACAGGTCGACTTGACTAAATGGTGTCCTTACGGATATTTCATGGCAAACACCTCCCAGATTGTTGGTTTTTGTGTCAAGAACTCACAAAGTTTCCTCCAGTTTCATATAAACTAGGAACAAAGAGATGCAAAAAATGTAAGCGCCCCACCCAAAGTCCATTAAACACAGCCAATGGGTGAATGAATGGTCCCAGTAAATGTAAAACACATGTGATCTGACATCAAACACGCGTGTAACCTTTGAACAAAGACAATTAGATAAACAACAAACTGTTTCTTATCTTTTCTTTAAACATTAATGTGAACATAAGTGTTGAAATCAAAACGAAAAGTTTACCATCTTGTCCTGAGTTCTGGAGAAGTTCTATCAGGTCACAGCCGAACACATTTTCATTTCCTTTCTTTTTGGATTTCTGCTTGTTCCCTTTATTCTTCATGTGGCTCCCGTTAGTAGTCAGGACGATTAACACAAGAGGTTCCTTGAAAGCACAAAGACGGATCCATAGGACCTCAAAATCGTTTGAGATGGCAGAGCAGAAAGAAATCTCAGCACACAGCTCCCAAATGTCTGCATCCGCTCAGACTGGCTAATCACACTGCTACTGACTGAGAGCCGCACCGACGTCACGTTTGAGGCTTCACCTCCTTCAGGATCTTATTATTTTAGGAGACAAACTGGAGAAAAGGAGTTAGTTTGGATGGGACGAGGCAGGCTCTTGTTCTGTCTGGTGGATTTGCAGAAACAGCACTGGAATCACTGGGTTTCCGGTTGTTTTTCTACCCCCAGCCAGTCGCGCTCTCTCCTCCTCTTTTCCTTCATTCCAGTCTCCCCCCTTCCACCGCCTGTTCTGGAGCCCAGACCTCCACGCAGTCCCACGCACACTCCTTCTATCCTAAATAATCTGAGTGACGGGAGACCGGGTTGTTGCAGAGATTTTTTAAAAGAGGGAGGGAAGTAAGGTTATTGGAGGAGAACAGTTGTCATCTGGTTCTCTCCCAGTTTAGGAATTACTGACCTCTTATATGCCTTTCTTTTTTATTTTTTTGTACATGTTCCCATACTTGGAGCTAACGGGAAAGCCTCTCTGCCTTCCTGAATGCTCCCAGTGTATACACCGTTTCCTGTGCAGAGAGCCCGGGCTCAAAAACAAAAACAGACCAGCTCTGAAGGAAGAGGAAAGTGGGAGGTGACTTGTGAGGGCCAGAAGGGCACAGATGGGAAATGGGAGGGGGGGCAGCAGACCCAACAAGATGGACAGCACGTGCTTGTCATTGCAGCGTTTCATGCCTTTATCCTCACAATTGATTAGAAAAAATCTAATTCAGTAACACAAGGTGTCAATTATGAAAGGCAAATAACGCCCCCTCCCCTCAGCGTTCTGACTACATCTTAATGCCATCCCTCCATAGCAATGTCATGTCTGATAAGTACTGTGTAATATTCTGGGATATTCACCTCATCTGCAGCCTTCCAACTGTGTCATTGAAGGAAAATGAAATCCCAAACTCCTCAAATTTTGCTTCAGGATTTTACAGCCAAGAATAACGGAACTTGTCATGACCTGATGTAATTAGTAATCAAGTTACTGCTGCCAGGGGCGCAGATAGGATTTTCAAACTGGGGGGACAAAGTTCCAAAGTATCCTCCCCCAAACACACACACACACACACACACACACACACACACACACACACACACACACACACACACACACACACACACACACACACACACACCTTAACTAGAGCGCAGTTTGTGTAATTTCCTCCAATGGTTTACGTAAAAACTAACACTTTTATACACGTGTTTGAAGCCGTTATGCAGTGGAACGCTGGCAACAAAGCTCTGCCTGATCAACACTATAAATGATAAATGATACGCACTTGTATAGCGCCTCTCAGAGTAAGGACTCCAAGGCGCTTTACACGACAGTGTATCGTTCACCCATTCACACACACATTCACACACTGATGGTGATGAGCTACGATGTAGCCACAGCTGCCCTGGGGCGCACTGACAGAGGCGCCCCACTATTTAATTCAGTCATTTGTTATTCTTCCAATCAATTACTAACCAAAACCTCATGCTTTATGCAAAACATTAAATGATTTTCAGCGTACCAATCTTTACAGAAAACATAAAACCCCTAAAAAACTGCACATAAAATATAAGAAGAAACAATATTCTTTTATCACAGAGCAGTAGCTCCCAAACTTTTCAGCCTCTGACCAACAGATGTTCCTTCGTATTTTTACGATATTTAGAAATTTTCATTATATTTGGAAAGTTTTTATTTCTATATAAATATATAAATCTCTTTTTAAAATTATATTTTACCTTTTTTATGATTATGTGACACACTTTGACTTCCATACATAACGCATCGGCATCTGCCCCTTTTTACAGGTATTTTTTTACATTGTCAATACGTTTGTCACATTAGCTGTGTTTTTACCATCATTTCTACATCCGTCCCATCCCAAAGAAGGTTAAACCGACATCAAACCCAATGTTTGGAGCTTGTAAACTCCACACACCTCTCGTGCAGCACCAGCTGTGCTGCAGCAGCGTCAATCGTCTCGGCTGGATGAGTGAATATCTTCATCAGAGTCAATATTCTGCTTCATGATCAGAGTCAGTCATTACCAGACAAAGTGATCAGTCAACAAAGACCAGACCTGCGCATCTCCTTCTCTCCCCGACAGGGAGCCTCTCAGTGGGAGACGTTTTTCAAACTCTAAAAACTTCCAAACTTTGTTCAGCCTGAAGGTTGCACATCTTCACTATCTTCTTATGTAAAGTAGTAACTTCATGAGGGATCATATTTGTAGATGATCCTGTTAAAGTCAGCAATGAGGCTTGGGTGCTTATAAGTCCCAACACTGACAACAATGTACTGAAACTAGAACCAACATCGTTGTCGTCTTCCTCCGCTTATCCGGGTTGGGGTCGCGGAGGCAGCATCCCAACTAGGGAGCTCCAGACCATCCTCTCCCCAGCCACCTCCACCAGCTCCTCCGGCAGGACCCCAAGGCGTTCCCGGACCAGATTGGGGATGTAACCTCTCCAACGTGTCCTGGGTCGACCCGGGGGTCTCCTGCCGGCAGGACATGTCCGAAACACCTCCCCAGGGAGGCGTCCAGGAGGCATCCTGACCAGATGCCCAAACCACCTCAACTGACTCCTTTCGATCCGGAGGAGCAGCGGTTCTACTCCGAGTCCCTCCCGAATGTCCGAGCTCCTCACCCTATCTCTAAGGCTAAGCCCAGCCACCCTACTGAGGAAACTCATTTCGGCCGCTTGTATCCGCAGTCTCGTTCTTTCGGTCATTACCCAAAGCTCATGACCATAGGTGAGGACAAGGACGTAGATCGGCCGGTAAATCGAGAGCCTGGCTTTCTGGCTCTCTTCACCACGACAGATCGGCTCAGCGTCCACGTCACTGCAGACGCTGAACCAATCCGCCTGTCGATCTCCCGATCCCTCCTACCCTCACTCATGAACAAGACCCCGAGAAACTTAAACTCCTCCACTTGAGGTAGGACCTCTCCCCCGACCCGGAGTAGGCAAGCCGCCCTTTTCCGGTCGAGAACCATGGTCTCAGATTTGAAGGTGCTGATTCTCATCCCAGCCGCTTCACACTCGGCCGTGAACCTACCCAGCAAGAGCTGAAGGTCAGAGCTGGATGAAGCTAGGAGGACCACATCATCCACAAAATGCAGAGACGAGATTCTCCTGCCACCAAACTCGACACACTCCACACCACGGCTGCGCCTAGAAATTCTGTCCATAAAGGTAATGAACAGAACCGGTGACAAAGGGCAGCCCTGGTGGAAACCAACACTCACCGGGAACAGGTCCCACTTACTACCGGCTATGCGGACCAAACTCACGCTCCTCTGGTAAAGGGACTGAATGGCCCTTAACAGAAAGTCTCCAAACATATACAGGTGCTGGCCAGTAAATTAGAATATCATCAAAAGGTTGAAAATATTTCAGTAATTCCATTCAAAACGTGAAACTTGTACATTATATTCATGCAATGCACACAGACCAATGTATTTCCAATGTTCATTACATTTAAATTTGATATTCATAAGTGACAACTAATGAAAACTCCAAATTTGGTATCTCAAAAAATTAGAATATTCTGAAAAGGCTGAATATAGAAGACACCTGCTGCCACTCTAATCAGCTGATTTACTCAAAACACCTGCAAAGGCCTTTAAAAGGTCCCTCAGTCTTGTTTTGAAGGCACCACAATCATGGGGAAGACTTCTGACTTAACAGCTGTCCAAAAGACAATCATTGACACCTTGCACAAGGAGGGCAAGACACAAAAGGTGATTGCTAAAGAAGCTGGCTGTTCGCAGAGCTCTGTGTGCAAGCACATTAACAGACAGGCGAAGGGACGGAAAAAATGTGGTAGAAAAAAGTGTACAAGCTCTAGGGATAACCGCACCCTGCAGAGAATTGTGACGACAAACCCATTCAAAAATGTGGGGGAGATCCACAAAGAGTGGACTGCAGCTGGAGTCAGCGCTTCAAGAACCACCACGAGGAGACTCATGAAAGACATGGGATTCAGGTGTCGCATTTCGTGTGTCAAGCCACTCTTGAACATGAAACAGCGCAAGAAGCGTCTCGCCTGGGCCAAGGACAAAAAGGACTGGACTGATGCTGAGTGGTCCAAAGTTATGTTTTCTGATGAAAGCAAGTTCTGCATTTCCTTTGGAAATCAAGGACCCAGAGTCTGGAGGAAGAGCGGAGAAGCACATAATCCACGTTGCATGAGGTCCAGTGTAAAGTTTCCACCGTCAGTGATGGTGTGGGGTGCCATGTCATCTGCCGGTGTTGGCCCACTCTGTTTCCTGAGGTCCAGCCGTCTACCAGGAAGTTTTAGAGCACTTCATGCTTCCTGCTGCTGACCAACTTTATGGGGATGCAGACTTCACCTTTCAACAGGACTTGGCACCTGCACACAGTGCCAAAACCACCAGCACCTGGTTCAAGGACCATGGTATCCCTGTCCTTGATTGGCCAGCAAACTCGCCTGACCTTAACCCCATAGAAAATCTATGGGGTATTGTGAAGCGGAGGATGCAATACGCTAGACCCAACAATGCAGAGGAGCTGAAGACGACTATCAGAGCAACCTGGGCTCTCATAACACCTGAGCAGTGCCACAGACTGATCGAGTCCATGCCACGCCGCATTACTGCAGTTATTGAGGCAAAAGGAGCCCCGACTAAGTATTGAGTGCTATACATGCACATTCTTTTCATGTTCATTCTTTTCAGTTGGCCAACATTAGAGAAACAAACATTTTTTCATTGGCCTTTAGAATATTCTAATTTTCTGAGATACCAGATTTAATGTTTTCATTGGTTGTCACCTATAAATATCAAAATTAAACGTAATAAACATCGGAAATACATTGGTCTGTGTGCATTGCATGAATATAATGTACAAGTTTCACGTTTTGAATGGAATTACTGAAATATTTTCAACCTTTTGATGATATTCTAATTTACTGGCCAGCACCTGTATGTATATATATATATATATATATATATATATATATATATATATATATATATATATATATATATATATATATATATATATAAAGTCCCAAAATGAAAATACCATTTGAAGTCACGGACAACAAAAGACGTATGAACCTAGAAAACTGCGACTGGTGTTTAGCTCTATAGTTTGTCCAGCATTGCGGGTTTGAGTTCCATCAGCAGTGTCTCAGAGGAGACACAAGAGGGGAGGGGTGAGTGTTCCATGTTCGCGTTCAAAACCTAGCATGTTCAGTAGATTTGCAGCTTTAATAATAAAACACTGCATCTGAATATTTGCTTATAGGAAAGACAGAATGAGTACACACAATTTGTTATTGTTATACTTAATATTACTGACCACGTGACCTCCATGAAACAATGAGAGGTTAGAGGTTTATTGCTCTGAATCACGGCTTTGTTCTGCCGACAGGAACACGATTTCTTCGTCACAAGTTAGAATACTGATGTTTAACTGGAAGTTAGCACATCCTCTACGTTAAATGTCAGATGACTCAGACAGAAAATTGACTCCAAGAAGGAGAAGTTCCATCTCACGCAAAAAAAATAAATAAAACATTTTTACCCTTCCACATTGTTAATGGGGTCAGATGGGCCTCAGGTGCTTTTAATTATTTTTTTTTACGAGTGCACCACTTCACCTTTGCCAAGAGCTAAACTATCAACCATGTTTATACACCCCCGTCATGGAGGGGACAGTGGAAGGATCACATTTCAAACTAAAACAACTCAATGCATGTGGAGCAGCATTGGCATGAATCAAACAACAATGTGCTGATAGTAAACAAACGTGCATGCTCTCAGTGCAGATGATGGTGCTGCTGCTTTTGTGCTACCAGTGTTTTGTGAATGTCACATGGTAGACAGATGACCATGGCCTACCCTCGGCAGGACAAAGGTTTCTTTCTGCACCAGAGGAAGAGGACATGACATCATTCGGTTCACACAAAGCCTCAGACATCCCGCTCTTCCTTTTCACTGTTAATTAAGAAAAAAGGAAAGAAGTAAATAAGACGTATCATTGTGAGTGAAGAATAGGGTTATTCTGGTCTTTACTCGTGCTGCTTCAGCCCAACATGTCCTAGAGTGATGCAATGTTTATATTTGAAATCTGCAGGATGATGAAGCTCAGTTAGATGTGAATTTGAGTGTGGAGAAAAATGTGATTACTTTAGTTCATGTCAATATTCATATTAGGGATGGACAATATATCGGCATCGTTATCGGTATCGGCCGATGCTAGTCATTTTTTAACATATCGGTATCGGTTCGATAAATAAAACCTGGTAGATATTAACAACCGATATTTTTTTCTATCTTGTCTCCATTTGTTTGCCTGTTTCAGTGGGAGAGGGGGGTGATGTGTAATTGTTTAGTCATGTGAACAGCGAATGAAATAATCTCAGAACCGTAAATGTGTGTGTGTTGTGTGTACATAACAACATAAATTCAGCTTTAATCATTTTCCTTCTACAAAAAATCTTCTGATTTCAGAAGCATTAATGTCAGTATATTGGTATCGGCAAATATCGGTTGTCGGCCATAACAGTGATCTTTATATCGGATATCAGTATCGGCCCAAAAATTTCAAATCGGTGCATCACTAATTCACATGTCAACTAAACATGACTAATTTCAAAAGAAGCTGTAAAAACAAGGAAAGCTTTGCTTTTACCACCTATAGGGAGCCTAAGTCACGCCCATCTACTTCTGGACCATGGGTCCCCTGAAGAATGAAAACATTAAGTCAATAATTTCTAATCCCGTTTCTTTTGTGCCATGGATTTCACACGGACATTTCACAGGATGTCCGTGAATTTTAAAGACAGATTTTGATGACGTTTCGAACGGATGGAAACGTTATTTTAGGTTTTGTGTGAAAATATGTCCAGGACCACAAATGAGCATCACTAAATTAACGTAATGGAACCAGAAAGGGTGTTGCAACACATTCTCACACCCGAAGCGTCAGAGAGAGGACAGTCTGTGGTGACGTCATAACATACAGATGTTTGATGTGTATGCTAATTACGAACTTTTACAAGCTGATAAATCTCATTACATTGAATGATTTATATATATGATAATCAGTAATGTTTGACATGACAAGGCAATCATCACCTACACTCAGACACAAGGTTCATTAGAGAGATAAATTAAAGTTAAGTTAAACTCGTGACACATAGATATTTCCTTACCCCAAATCAGAGCATCTGGTATCTGAAAGAAGGTGTGATGTTCTGAGGTTCTTGGTAATATCCCTTAACATGGCACCTTCCGATTGGACAAGAATTCATAATATGACAATATTGAAACAGAGCTCACTTCTCGGTGAGATAGTTCTAGAGAACGCTACGGAACGGCCGTCCAGAGCAAAACCTCTTTAACCTAGAGCATTTTCGACAAGCTGTCAAAACCCTGCTAAAAGCTGCCAACCGCTGACACAGCAAACGGTTCCTGCAGAACAAAGCTGATACAGTTCCGACTCCCTAAGAGTCCTTCTAGATGCAAATGATTCCATCTATCTGTTGTGACCCGGAAACATCTCTGGACTGGAGAGTCGGTGCTGCGGTTAATCTACTGAGCATCGGTGCCCAGAGGTCATCCAACCTTCCTGACCTCTGGATCCACGAAGAGGGTCTTCCAAAGGGTGAGGTAGACACAGCATGAATCGTGTTTGATGTGGCTTTGATTAGAATCAACTTCCTAGTTAATGCAAACCAAATTCTCTTTTTTACACCCAGTACTCAGTTCTTCTATATACGAAGGTTCTGATAACCTCACATTCACACATAGCCACCATACATCACATCCCATCCACCTAGATCCATCCATCACAGTAGTCTTAGTTAACTTGTCATGTTTATAATTGTTTGGAAAATAAATTCTTACTTTTTATAAACTTGACTCTCTTCTTGAATTAATGTGGTGTCCTACAATCCCCGAGTAAACAAAGAATTCTAAATCTTCTGGTTAAAACATTCAAAGACCAATCAGACCGGATTTCCATATTTATATGGAAATTCACATCACATTGGTCAAAGTGTAGAGTAGTATATTAAGCTTAAAAAGCACTCAAATACATACAATAATTACCCCACTACATTTGTGATTTCTCGTAAAAAAAGGAAAAAAAAACATTCTGATTCTGATTCAACAAAAATGTTTTATTAGTTCAGTGTTTTGTTTGTTAGTTGTTTTATTTAAGTTTGGATTATATTTAAAAGGGTATAACAGCTCAAATGTGCTGTAGTTGACTCATTTGGGTTAAAGTCCTGAAAATGAAAGATCAAAGCTTTGTTCTGATCAAATCCATCTTTAGATCATCCATCATAACACAACAGTGGCATCACAGCTAGATGGGACTTAAGTAAGTCCTGATGTATAAAACCTTCACTTGGCAGTAAAGCTAAAGTCATTTCAGATCTGATTTGGTTTCAAAGAGCTAAAGAAGTTTTGTTTTTAACAGATCAGATTAATATACTGCCCCCTGCTGGTGAGAAGCATGAACTACTGAGGGGGACTTTTACTCTGAAACCATCTAGCTCATTTTCCTCCTGTCCTTCAGCAGCAAACTGAGATTGGTCAGTTCTAGAACAAAAGAAGCAGGAACAACAGGCCGGATAATAAGTACAAGAGAAACGGATCAACAGCGCTGCAGTCTTCTAATACCCGTACATTTGTGATTTCAATTCAATTCAAATTCAAAAATACTTCAATAATCCCAGAGGGAAATTCAATTGTTTCAGTACACACAATTCCAAGATCAGACACATACATAGACACATGACAAGAACTGGTGACTGTGGTCACGCGCAACACGAGTCACGCTACCGTTATAGATCAAGAGGGTTTATATGAGGATAGAGTCAGGGGGAGGGAGAAAAAAAGGCACTTCAGAGTTACCCCGACAGAGAGGATAGCTTTGCTATGAAAAAAAAACCCACCTCAGACAGATATGCACACAGACTTCAGACAATACACAACATAAGTATCCACTAGGTGGGGAGGTAGGGTTGGCACTCTCCTCACTTCAGAGCGTGCAGCCGCAAAAGCAGTGCTCATCACCTCCATTTGGACAGGGGAGGGAGATAAAGGGTTAGAGGGCATGTTGAATCCTAGATACGGTTCCACGGCCTTCATCGGTCACAGTCCCACCCAGGCTGGGATAGGGAGAGAGTTTCCATAGCGACAGCAGCATTCCACATTTCTTCTGAGGGGAGTTTTCACTTCAGCCTCACAGGCTTCAAGGGCACCAGATTCAGACAACAAGAATTGTTTTGGGTACAGACAGAGATAATTTCCTCTCTGCCTTAGAGTTCTGTCGGTCTTCAACCCCTCCTGGTCCAATTATGGCATTATCAAACTATTCCAATCCGTGCTGATCCGTCAACTCTCTCCTTGATCGAATCAACCTTCTGTCCCAGAGACTGAATCTCAGCCAAAGTTCCAAGCTTACGACTCATCGACAATTATATGAGTCTGAGTTTACAGCGTGATGCATTCCATCCCTGAGCTCCGGGATTAAGTCAATATTCCTCAAAAGCTTGTTAATTTTCCAGTATGCCAGGTAACCGCTCAGGCCAAACATCAGGAATCGTGACACCAAAACGACAAATACCCAGACATCTTCAGAATCCTCTACTGACAGTTGAGAGAGGCAGATCCAGTTCCACCATTTCCAGGAGTCCATGATATACCCAGCTGTCTCTGTCCCAGAGGGGCATCCAGGAGCCCCCTCTCATCGTTGGAAAGATTTTGTCAATCGCGTTGAGAGACCAACTGACCAGATCCATGTTTAATAATTTCCAGTTTACAGAAAAAAATGCAGAGAAGCGCAGAGCACAGGGGTAGACGGGACAGAGAGCCTTGGGAGGAGCAGGGAGGGAGAGGAGAAAAAAAGTGTCTGTACTCTTCAAGAGCCGGAAGAAGAAGCCTAAATAAAGTCTGGAACTATTCATTTCACTCGTATTTGAGAAACTGACTCGGTCATGAAATGAAAACACATCCACGAGTCAAAGTAGGAACAAACTTTTATTTTCTTTACTGGCTACTGCATTTCTAGAGTAGCTCAGCCCAGTGCAGTGGCTGTCCTCACAGACACCGCCGTCATGTACAGAAACCTTTGGCTACCATGGCACACCGTCCTCACACATACACAACAAGTCATGTGACAGACGTTAGTAGTCTTAAAAATATATACGCTTTTGAAATAAACTTAAATTATTCAACTAAGTTGATATGTGCAACATTTATGAGTAACATGCAAACATAAAAGCAAAGATTTTGCTAGTTACTTTTTTGTGGCTACACAAAAATCTAAAGAGGAAAATCTGTAAACCGCCACCGAAATAAACCAAAATAAAACCCCACAAATGAAATAAAACAAGCTAATAAGGCCTTCAAATAAAATAAAGAGAATTTAATGATCTATGTTCACATGTTTGATGTCGTTTAACATCCTTTGAGCTATAAGTAAATAATTTCTATTAGCCCATATATTTTAGGCTAACTGAAATAATTGATGTAACAATTAGAGTCTGGAGAGCTCAAGCATGTCTGACTCTTTCATATCACAGCAAACACCCTGTACTAACAGACAAAACCTCTTTTCACTGGAGTAAACTATCGCTGAAGGAGTATTTGATCCCAAGTATGGAAAAATAAAGAAAACTTTCTTGGAAATGAACTTTTTATTTCCAAGAATGAGAAGCAAAAAGAAGAGAATTTGGCCCGGAGGAGTCTAGATGGGTAACAACGTTGTGTTGTCCTTCAGGGAAAACCTTCATCCTGGCACTTGGATTTATTCCCAACATCCCAGTGGCAAACACTCACTGCTGTTTTGGCAACAAAACCGAGACGTAATTGGTATAAACCATGGTCATAATGTTCTGGTTCTACCCGCCGCCCAGACCCAAACAGCCAGTCAAATACAGACACGGGTTTATTAATCCGGGTTCGACGGCTGAAAATGCATCATCAAAACAACTTAAATTCCTGGAAAATTCCAGTCAAACACTCTTTGTGTAAAAAAAAACAAAACAAAACAAAAAGTTGAAACCCTTTTTCTCCTACAGGTTATCAGGAAGTGAACGTAGCATCATATGCTTGAATGTTCCTACAGACGGTGCAGGGAGTTTGATATGTCCTCAGTGGCCTTGACTTCAGTATTACCACCAGGTCAAAGGAGCATTTGCTCTTCGAGACCCTGGCTCTATGGGTCACCAATTTCCACGGTAACGTTCACATAAAGAGGCATCCTGTCAAGCGCCAAAGTCTTATACGAGCAGCTGTTGAGCCCGTCCTTCTTCCAGATCTGTGGCACCTTTCTTAACAGATTCATCCTATGAAGGAAAGACAACACCAAAAAAATCAGCAAAATTCAAGAAACGATTAAGTCAAACGCTGATTGTTTTCAAATTGTAAATCTTCCTCTTTGTTTTGGCGCTAAATTATTAATAATAGGCACACGTGCATTTAGTGTAGATTTGTTCTAAGCAGCAACTTTCTTCAGCTCTAATGAGCATAAAAAATCTTGCTGATAGTCGTGAGAATTACAGCTCACTAAACCGCTTCTTCTGGCTCTCCTAAATGGATCTTGGTTTAATTCTATGGATGTGTCATGAATGATCCAGCTCAGATTATAAGAGTGTCTGCCGGTGCAGCAGGGAGTCTCCTAACACACTGTACCACTCATGAAAAAAGATTTCTTCCTAATAGGCAAGAGTCTTTGGGGAAAAGGACAGTTTCTTTTCTCCTGCGACAGTTTTCGAGTGGGAAGCTGCAACTGTGTCACAGGAAAAAACTTTTCCCAAAGACTCTTGCCTATTAAGAAGAAATCTTTTTTTATTTTAAGGCTAAATGAACTTCATAAACACACACTGTACCACTGCATTGTTCTTTCATGATTGTATGGTATAAAAGTGTATTTGATTACATCTGGCTGAATGGGGGAACAGCTGAGAATAAACAGCAGCTCTCCAACAGGAACAGACTCATTAGTTAAGACAAAAAGACAATTTTCTTTTTCCCTCCGAGTCCAAGAATAACCTCGTCAATCATTCCTATTTTAATCTGCCATTTAGGAGGTTGTTTTACTGTAACTTTATACTGCAGTCCAAATGATATGCTAATTGTTTTTAGGCAGCATTTGTGAAAACATGTCAGACAGTACCAACACAAAACTTTAAATCGACAGACATGCTGACTGGGCCGTTTCTCCTCAAACTTGCAAATATATTGCCATTAAAACATTCCTGAAAACCAAAAATAGGTTTTGTGCTGAAAATCTGCACACACATTTATTTTTTTTCAACGATAAATTAGCGATCGTCACTGACTGGCTGCTTGCTGTTCGCGTTCCTTAGAGCATTTTGATTGATCTGGCCTGGGAAGCATAAAGGTAAGGCATGTAGCTTAAACATTCTTCTATAGGGAGCCTAAGTCTCCTCCCTTTCTGGTCGGCTCACGGGTTCCTGGAAGAACACAAAAATGAATGCAAGCTAACGGGGCTAAAAACGCTATTTTCTAATCCGCTTAGCCTTACGCCCTGGATCACACACATGTTGTACTGCAATTTAAATGAAAAGTAATGATGGCCGTTTCGACCATGTCTGTAACGTACTTTGATATTTATCAGCTTGTAAAAGTTCGAAATTAGCATGACTACACACCAGGCACGGTATGTCACCACAGAATCTCCTCCCCCTAGCGTAGCTGCTGCTTACCACATGACCAGATTTATGGTGGTTCTTTCCTCCTGAAGGAAGGATTAGAAGTTCGCTGAACTTAGTCATTTTCCTTGTTTTCTTCTCTCGGTCCGGTTCGATGACGTCACTTTGGTGATGTGCATTTGTGGTCCTGCACTTATTTTTGCACCAAACCTAAAATAACGTTTTCCTTCGTTCAAAAATAAGCACGTTCTTGATATCACAATTTGACTTTAAAATTCATGGACATCATATGTGAAATCCATAGCACATAATTAGAATATAGCGTTTTTAGCCCCATTGACTTGCGTTCATTTTTTCGTTCTTCCGGGGACCCGTGGTCCGGAAGTAGATGAGCGTGACTTAGACTCCCTCTGTGACTCTTTGACCTTGTTCTATGATAAAGTAAGGAAATTTTTCATCATTTATTTTTTCCTTAAGTCCGACCCCTGGCCTCCACAGCAATTTATGCGAGCCTAGAGCATTGACAAATAGAGCTGCGTATCCACAAGAGTGAAATGTCAATCAACAACAACGCGCTCCATGTACCCAGCATGCACTGCGGGGTGATGCGCTGACGTAGTCCGCTTAGCACACCAACCTAGCTTGAATGTTTGTTTGACCTGCACTGAATTAATACCAGTCTATAAACTCATTTGAGTAAAGTTTTAAGTAACTTCCCACAGTTTCAACTGTAATCTGATTACAGGTACTCGTTGCAAATACAAGTGGTTTAAGGCCACATTTGTGTCTTCACTATATCAATATTATGCTTAACCATATTTAAAGGACAGTGTAAAATATGCAACTGTCAGAGGTCACTAAAGTACCCACTACATCTATAATATAGATACATATCTGCAGCATACGAGGACATTGTCCTCAAACGTCCTGCCTGAGACGTTCACGTCTGCCAGATTGGCTTTAGCTTCGACGTTTTCGTAAACACCGATTTAGGCATAATTTTTTTCCCCAGTTACACTCATGGATGGTGTTTGCATTGGACGAGGTTTGAAAGCTAGATATTTCATTGTGCTGTTAGGTTTGAGGCTGATGCAGAGCACACACTGGTCTGTTTGGAGAAAAGTACCATGACGAAGGTTTCTGTCTGACCTGTTTATTGAATTAGGAAAGCAGCTGCTACAACACCATCACAAAGCAGTACAAACGTCCAGATTTTAGACATAAGACCAGCAGCAGTACTGACCTGTCCATGTTTATCTGATTGCCGCTGTCCCGTTTGTGAAACACCATGGTGTAGCGTGCTACAGCAGCAGGGGGTCGCACAATCTTCATTTTATTCAGCTCAACTCTGGAACGGCCATGTGTGAAAAGAAATAAATTACATTAAATTTGTTTTCACATCACAAAGCTCTGTCCTACATTCTATGTCTCACCTGATGCGCAGGTCATCGTCTTCCCCGCCCCACCCCCAGTAGTTGTTTGAGAATCCGTTGACTTTAAGAAAATGGTCTCGGGTCATGGCAGTGACTCCACCAAAGTAGCCTTTGTAACGCAGCCTGTGGAGGGAATGGAGGACGGCCGCCTCTGCTTAATGAATCTATCTTCAGCATTGAAGGACTACTCTCGTGGGTGTATACTTACTTGTATCCTGTGGCGTTTCGTCCAACCACCAAGTGTTTAGGCTGCTCGTCACAGACGTACAAATTGTGATCATTTTCAGGAACTAGATCCACGTCGTGGAAGATGAAACAGTCCCAGCTGTAGTCCTTTAGTGCCTCCAAATACCCAACGTTAAGCAACTTTGCTCGATTAAACGTTGCGTCACCAGCCTAAACACAGGGTAAAAGGTGCAGATTCAAAATATTGTGTCTTCCTGAAAGTTCAACATAGATTTTAATTATTCTCTTGTACCATTCTGTTACTATGCTTTATTTACAATGGAGAAAGTATTCTGCAATGTATGAAAATTTGAATTCATTCAGGCACAAAGCAGGAAATCTGTCAAAAGCAACTAAAACAATATTCTTGTCACTGAATGTTGAATAAAGAGACATTTGTATTGCTTTATGCTAAGCAGGTGAGTCTGAAGGAGGTATGTGTTTAAAGGTCACGTGCAGTGCTCTCCAGTAGGAATGAAATCAGTCATTTTCTAGAGAAAAATGCTCAGATGCTCCTGTTTGAGGATGTAGAAACCAGTCAGAGGAGAATGTGGCAGAAGATGACTTATTCCCTCAAATTTGAGCATCTCACCTTTGACTGGATAACAGCAACACAACTCTACCACTGATGCTTTATCTCCACAAAAAACACAAGCCTGGAGGAATTCTGTGTGTGTGTGTGTGTGTTGGGGGGGGGGGGGGGGGCGCTAATGCTAACAGTTAGCTTCTACTAGCTGTGGCACACTGCTCTACCCTGGATGCTAAACCAACAAGAACATTTTCAAACATAAGTATTTTCTCGGTTTCTCTGTGAACCTGCTCTTTAATTCTGACCAAATACCAAATCTGTGAAAAACCAGAATGCTGAAAAGTTTCATAAAAGACAAATAGAAGCAAAACTAACTTCCTGGCTATAAATATGTTTACATAAACCTGTGTAAAATATATTCAAATGACATGAGTCAAGCCAAAGGGCAAGGAGCATTTGCTTCCCCTGTCTAGAAGTCTCTCAAGTTCATATCTTATGACTAGTATTTGCATGTTGGTGTAGTCTAACCACTAAAATAGATTTAAGCTGATTTGCATTTAGCATTGAAATTTTCACCTAGTTTGTTTCAAAGTCTCCAACAGAAACCTTGAACACACCGTGTTGTTTTAGCCAACGGTGACGATGATGAAATGATGTCATCAATTTTCCTTTTTCTCATGATAAAAACACCCTGAAGAGCTAAAAATAGCTCTTTGGTGGCTAAAACAAGACGAGATGTGTGAGTTTTCATTACTTGGATGAAAATTCTGCTCAAAATGCACGTGTCTGCTGCGCCCTGTTCAGTCATGCCCATCCCTAGCATGCAGCAGCAGCAGCGCTCATTCTGCACGGCAGACTTGTGTGCAGAGATGATCCTGCCCTGTCGTGGGAACGTGCATCGCTTAACAAAACCGCTTATTGAGGAAGTAGTGTTAGAAACATGAGCTATGAGGCTACCTTTAAATATATTTGTAATTTTAACACGTTCCTATCCGTGTGCTTCCTGAAAAAGTG